TGTGAATGAAATGAGAAATCAAACTTGATTACTGGATCTAGAATACATTTCCAGATATTTTCCTAATAAACTGTAACAACACGTTCATTTTGTTTATTAATCAATATATTTTATTTACTTGTATCATACGTCATTCCAGCGTATTATGGTTTTAGTCAGAAAGAAGTAATGTCATTTTTGGAATTTGCTGTTTCCATTTTCCGAAATGGGCACCGAAAATATGAAACTTTTACGTTCAAGCATCAGCGGTTGGGATTTTAAACTAAACAAGAAAGGAAATTTAGCGAGAATTTTCAGCCCAAATCGTGCATCTGGCAATAGCGCTGCATAACAGCGGGTGACCCACAGCGGGTGGCCCACCCGCTGTGGGTCACCCGCTGTTATGCAGCGCTATTGCCAGATGCGCAATTTTGGGCTGAAAATTTTCGGCCAAAGTTCTACCTACTTTCAGGCTCTAATTTATTTTTTTTTTGTTCACGATTCTTCTTACCGCAAATGAATGATTCCCAAAAATGTTATTTTCACGAGTATCGTAGAAAAAAGTTACGTTTTTGCGCGACATGCATTTGCCGCTGGTCACATATCATGATAATTTGCCGTTGCCACATGATATGTGATGCCGTGAGCCATATGGCGTCAATGTGTCTAATGCCATAATGAGCCATATGGCGTCAATGCTTTTAATGCCATAATGAGCCAATGCATCATATGCCATAATGAGCCATATGGCATGAACAAGCCACATTGCTTGAAAAAGGTCTTATCGCTACCACCTAACGCAGCTTCCTGTCCAAAAATGCGCAACTTGAAGCAAATTTTTACGTTGAATTTTCATCAACTGCCGCACAATTTACTTGAACAACAAAAAATGTCAACTGAATATCATTGCGATTAGCACTAGTCATGCATTGAATATCAATGTGTTATCAAATCTCTTTTAAACCTGAAAAATAGTGAACTTAGACATCACGATAAAGTTAAACTCATTTCCAAACATACCAATTTTTTTCATATTTAGTTTCATGAAAAAATATTATCCGCGACGTCTCCCTAATTTCGATAATTCTCTTCCATTCCTAAATTTCGTCCCTCACTGACAGCTTTTTTCAATTTAATAAATATTCATTAATAATTAATTAACATGAATAAATAATGTATTTAATACTTGAATATCAATAAAAAATGGTAGCGTAAGCAGGTATTCTTATAGCGGAAAACAACAATAATAATGAAGGATAATGAGCATTAATAAGAACTGGTATGATATTGTATTATATTTACACGTTATCAACAGCATATAAATTACTTGGCCTACAGAATAACTTCTGGGTTCATAAGGCGTTCGAAAAAATAGGTATACGACTTAATTTTTTGAATTTAATAGTTAATCTCGTTGAAGTTGACCGTTAATCTCATTAACGATTTAATGAGATTGCAAAGATCGCACTAATTTTAACAAGTTATGGACGCCATTTTCTAAACGCATATAACTAAATTAATGCATATATAAAAAAACAGCGAATGGCTATTAAATCCATAAAAAGAGCCTTACTTTTAAATCCGTTAAACATTTTTATCCGATCTTCAACGAAACTTAAATTTCCTTTCATTTGTTCAAATCAATTTCATTTTATGCAGACAAAAGCAAAGGCTTAATTTCTCTTCAATCCTCAGTTACTATATTAAATTTTTTTTCCATTTTATGATATCAAAAAGGAGACAGCGGTAAACGAGAACCATATAAGGCTCCATGTTTTTAAACGTTGTCTTCAAATCCACGCTTTATCACTTTTTGCTTGAATAATTTTCACTAAAAGTCATGATAAATTCAAATACTAGTCAGAAGTGTAGTGAATAGTTAAGACATTGAGCCATGACCGAAGCAAGTAGAAAAAAAAGTAATTACATGGTATCCCCTCCACTGCCCTACAGAAAACGAAACTTTCTTCGAAAGAAAACGAGTAATTTACTGGCTAAACTACTATAAATTACATTTCATTCTAAATGTCAAAAACTTCATGCAAAATCATGAGAATTTTTATAAAATAAGAAATAATATAAATGAAAATGGAGGATGTAGAGCGTTGGCCGCATTTGTTAAAAAAAATATAGTAATTTTCGTCATAAATTGAATGAAAATGAAATTTTACATCAAATTAACTGTTATTAACAGATTCCAGTTAAATAAAAAAACGTTCTCTAGTCGACTTATTTAAATTAATATGCGACATTCCATTAAATCAGTTAATACTTAATAAAGATTTAGACCCATCAAGTATCTTACTGAAGATAAACTTCGTATATATACAAATGACAATTTACTTTTCCCTCCTAAATTGTTTTTTCCTTTTAGCCATAAAAATCAGCTCCCGCGGGATTAAATGCCATTAATAATCTTTAATCCATTAATTGGATAAATTAATTAAGGCAAATAATTGCATTAATAATCAATGTAACTTGATTCCTATCTCCCCTGGTACGAATAGCATTGCAAGCCCCTCCCCCTATCGGCTCAGGTAGGAATAGTGTAAGGGGTCGGGGTTAGGGTTAAACCTTCGACGGGGACAGGTTGGGGGACGCAACCTTTACACCTAAGGGGTTGGGAGTTGTAACCCCTTAACCCCCTAAGGGGTTGCAGGAGCTGTTGTCGATGCTGCTATCCTCGAGTCTCTTGGGGTTGCCAGGTTGTGTGGGGTTAAGTTGGGGTTCATTCACCGCATTCTATGTGGGGGTTCAACCCCTTTGCTGGGCCAGGATTGGTTACAGAGGAGAAGTGGGGTTGAGGGGTTCACGGGGGTTGAGTTGAGAGGTCCGCTGGGGGTGAGAGGTTTGGCTGGGGATAAGGGGTTGACAGGATGAGAAGCGTTCACTGGTACTGAGGGGTTAGCTGGGGGTTGAGGGGTTCACTGGGGCTAGGGTTGGGGGTGAGAGGAATTTATTGAAGGGGGATAATAATGTCAGGGATGGGGGGAGGGATTCCAAGTTGCGGGATGAGGGGAGACTTGTTCTTGCGCGTAGACAGGATGACGGCCTGCAGCGTAGCCTGTTACAGGAGGCCACGGGGCCTCACGGGCCTGCAGGACAAGGAGGCCATCAGCCTGCAGGACAAGAGTGGCCATCAGTGTGATGTTACCAGGGCCTATACTTTCAAAAAAGTTAAGAGATCGTAAGTTCATCAGCCAATCATTGACGGGCTTTCAAACAAAATCCACCAATCATAGACAAGAAAATAGAGCGTAAGTACTTACGTTCACTTAGCGAGTTTTGAAAGTATGGCCCCTGGCTCACTATTCTATATACGTATTTACGCACTTCACATATATTAGTAACAACTAGGTATATTAATATATTCGATTAATATATCCTATATTAATTTCCTATGGGTAGGATATGCAGATATCCTTTAATATCCTCCTATATCAAAAGGGAAGCTTAATATATGGCTAGGGAATAAAAATTATTTAGAATTAAATCATGGCCGTGACCTGGCAGCACTGGCCGTAACCTGGCAGCACTGGCCGTAACCTGGCAGCACTGGCCGTAACCTGGCAGCACTGGCCGTGACCTGTGACGTACGGTGATTACAAAAGACGTACAACAGACGTACGGTGATTACAAAAGACGTACAGCAGACGTACGGTGATTACAAAAGACGTACAACAGACGTACGGTGATTACAACAGACGTACGATGATTACAAAAATTTCTATTAATCAATAATAATACTTCTATTAATTAATTATACTTCACTGCGGCAGAATCCGTGTGCACTATGGCAATATAATTAATCATTATTATAATCACTTGCCGTCATGGCGATAAGTGTAAAGTAAACAAAAATATAACTCAGTACGGTACTCACTGCAGTGAGTGACAGAGAGCGCATTTTCTCGTCGACGAAAACGTAAAGTCACGGACGGACGGACGGACGGACGGACAGACGGACAGACGGACGGACGGACAGACAGACGGACGGACATGGCGAGCACAATAATGCATTTTCCATAAATGAGAAAATGCGCTAAAAATGATCGACACGAGTCCTCGTAAGACATATGCTGTATAAGCTGTCGGCTCAGCGTGTGAGGCAAACTCTCAGTGACACAGTGGACTCATAGTCATGGTTGGCCTATTATAAGGTTGACCCATCAGAAGCTCATTTTTGCGGATGTATGGAGTTCGTTGTTCGCCTGTGACGTCACTGATCTCAGTGACGTCACGAGCATTAACCAATCACCGAAATGCGTTCAAACCAGTCAACCAATCCGTCATGGGAATGACGGGATGGTTTACGTTATCTACGTGACGCAACAAGAAAGATTAACTGAAAGACGGAAATCCTCGTGGGTCAACCTTGTATAGTTCAACCATGGTCTGAACTACCATTATGCAGCTCTCTCAAATGTAGTGTGACGACGCTCATAAACCATTTAAGTCTGTTATTAATAATTTTCAATTAAAAGACAACGTTCAACCATGCTCATAGCTAACTTGGTCTGCTTGTTCACTTTCTGGTAAACACTTTAGGATTTGTACCTACTGTCGCACATACTCCAGAGTGGCCTGGGGCTGCATCGGCTAGAGGACGGTTGAAGATGCAAAGCATACCAAGTATGGCACTATGCCACACACTTACCTACTTGGCCATCTCTAGCCACAGGACGGTCAAAGATGCCATGCATGCCGAGTATGGCGCTCTAAGGAGGGTTGATGATGCCATGCATGCCACTATGCCACACACTTACCTGGCCATCTCTAGCCACAGGGCGGTCAAAGATGCCATGCATGCCGAGTATGGCGCTCTAAGGAGGGTTGATTATGCCATGCATGCCACTATGCCACACACTTACTTGGCCATCCCTAGCCACAGGACGGTCAAAGATGCCATGCATGCCAAGTATGGCGCTCTGAGGAGGGTTGATGATGCCATGCATGCCACTTACTTGGCCATCTCTAGCCACAGGACGGTCAAAGATGCCATGCATGCCNCGGACCAGAGATCTGTAGCATTCATGCTCGACAATAGGAAAAGAACAAAGATCAAAAACAATAAAATCCAACAATGGAGGCTTGAGCTCGCCTCGTTTAGCTACACCATCAGGTATCGGCCAGGGAAAGAGAACGTTGCCCCCGATACAATGAGTCGAGCATCTTGCTGTGCAGTTTCATTCTCGACGTCTAAATCAACGTTGAACGACATTCACGACGGCTTGTGCCATCCTGGAGTGGCAAGACTCCTGCACTTTGTTAGATCTAAAAATCTACCCTTCTCAACTGAAGACGTGAAAAGGGTCTGCTCCACGTGTAAAGTGTGTGCGATTTTGAAACCACGATTTTACCGGCCGCCGGATGAAACTCTTATCCGCGCAACTCAGCCCATGGAACGCTTGAGCATGGATTTTAAAGGCCCTCTGCCCTCCGCCACGCGCAACACGTACATGCTTACTGTGGTCGACGAATTCTCACGGTTCCCCTTTGCATTCCCTTGCCCTGACATGTCTGCAGGAACAGTTATAAAATGCCTGGAATCGTTGTTCGCACTTTTTGGCATGCCCGGCTACATTCATTCTGATCGAGGAACATCGTTCATGTCGCAGGAACTGAAAGCATATCTATCCCAAAAAGGAGTCGCGACGAGTAGAACAACCCCATATCACAGTACCGGGAATGCGCAGTGTGAGCGGTACAATGGCATAATTTGGAAGACGATCGCTCTACGTCTAGAGACTCTGAATCTACCTATAAAACATTGGGAATTAGTGTTACTGGACGCACTACACTCCATAAGGTCACTGCTAACAACGGCAACAAACTCGACTCCTCATGATCGTTTATTCAAGTTCCATAGACGATCGACTCACGGACGCTCTCTTCCATCGTGGCTGATGACTCCTGGTCCGGTCCTACTCAGACGGTACGTTCGCTCCAAAACAGAACCGTTAGTTGACGAGGTGGATTTGATAGACAGCAATCCCACCTTCGCCCACGTGAAATATCGAGACGGGAGGGAATCGACCGTGTCGGTACAAGACCTAGCGCCCTGTCCTCAACTCTCCTCTCGTCGGCTTCCAGATCCGATGACAGACAACGCAGATGTCCGTGAGCGACTAGAGCCGACTTCACCTCGTCAGGATCAAGCTCTTGATCCTCCTGGTTCATACCATCAACCTGCCTCACTGCAGGATGTCGCAGAACCTCTACCCGTGTCCCAGCAGCCTATGGAACAAGCGGATAAGGAAACGGAATTGGCTCATTCTCCCGTCCTCAGAAAATCGACAAGAATACGAAGACCCCCAGATCGCTACGGTTATTAATAAGCAAAGTAGAATATGAATGTTCGTTTGAATAGTATCCTATTTCGTTGTAAAATAAATTATTTTCAAAAATGTCCTTACCAGGTAGAAGTAAGCGAAAAATTTTAGGAGGGGTGAATGTTGTAATATAGTCCTGATTTCTATATGAATAAAGTTCATAATAAGATGACTATCTGATGTTACATGGTCAGGCTTCAATACCTATACCGTATCAGTCTCAATGTACCCGTCGAGCTGACACGTTCTAACTACCGCCGTAATGTAATGTAAGTTTTCTACCACGTACATGCTGACTTTAAATCTGCCGTTTAATTGTTTGTTGTTGTTGTTGTTATATTTGTTATGTTGATTAGTATTTAATGTCGGTTACTCTCTTTTCAGGTAACCGGACATTTGTTTGAGTAAAGCTTGAATTGCCAAGTATTACTTATTTCACAACAAAGGGCATGGGGGGTATAATGTTGGGGTACAAGGGCACGGGGGTATAATGTTGGGGTACAAGGGCACGGGGGTATAATGTTGGGGTACAAGGGCACGGGGGATTTTACGGTTTGGGTACAAGTGTCGAGGGTACAATATTGAGTACCATCAGACCATGGGGAGGTATCATGTTAAGGTAGAAGGGCAGAGGGAAGGGTAACCTACAAAAAGGTGGCAGTAACATGACACCTAATAAGCAAGCGGGATCTTTCTTCACCTCACAATAGATACAAAGGAAAGAAAAAACTTTATAATGAATGATAATATTTACACCGAAACGTTATCCAAGCCAACGAAATTTCCCAAAGAAAAAAACTTTATAATAAACGGTAATCTTGACACCGAAAATGTATTACAAACAAATTAAACTTCCCGTTACCAAGATGCGACATATCTTAGGTGTTCCTACGGACATGACACACAGTAGGTGTTCCTACGGACATGGCTCACCTTAGGTGTTACTACGGATATGGCTCACCCTAGGTGTTCCTACGGACATGACACACCTTAGGTGTTCCTACGGACATGACTCATCTTAGGTGTTCCTACGGACATGACTCACCTAGGTGTTCCTACGGACATGACTCACCCTAGGTGTTCCTACGGACATGACTCACCTTAGGTGTGGCGACAGCAACAGATATGTCAACATAGTCCCTGTAGACGACATGACTCACCTTTGGTGTGGCAACAGCAACAGATATGTCAACATAGTCCCTGTAGACGACATGACTCACCTTAGGTGTGGCGACGGCAACAGATATGTCAACATAGTCCCTGTAGACGACATCGTTGCCATCGATGACAGCGTTGACAGTCGGGATCTTGACAAGGGCGTAGGCGGAGGCCTTGACGAAGGCTGACATCAGGCCGAGCTTGACTCCGTGGCGCTTTGTCAGCTCAGCGTTGACAGACTTACGCAGCTCCATGATGTTGCTGACGACATTAATTATTGTTAATACATTAATATAATATATATTACTGATATAGTACAGGTACATTGATACATAAGCAGCTCTATAATAATGCTGATGACAACATAGATTATTATTAATATGTTGATATATTGGTATTATTATTATTGTTGATATATTATTGATACATTACGAGTACAATGATATATTTACATAAATTATTGTTAATACACTAGTTAATATAATATGATACTATACGTAATAATTATAAATATGTGTTAACATGACCATGATGTTGCTGACAACATTAATTATTGTTATTACATTAACATATTGCTACGTATTATTATAAATATTCATATATTGAGATAGGTATTGTTAGTACATTGAGACATTAACATAGAAACTATTGACAATACACTAGTTAATATAATAAATACATACACTTGTTAACATATCAATTTATACAGACACAAATAATAATTATTAATTATTATTAGTGACGAAATGCTGACCACACAACTTTATATTAATATATTGATATATACTTCTTCAGTTTTAGATAAAATGTTTTTACTTCTATTAACATATTGCAAAACCTGCAGATGTTATTTAATGAGCTTAAATCATTTATGTGGGTTCATCAATAATGCATGACTATATTTACATACATGATGTTTATGCTGTGCCTACATATTATGAGGCAACATAACACACCTCATGTCCGTGCCTACATATTATGAGGCAACATAACACACCTCATGTCCATGCCTACATATTATGAGGCCACATGACACACCTCATGTTTGGACATGAGGGGGCAACATGGTGGACATGAGGGGGCAACATGGTGGACATGAGGGGGCGACATGATGTGGACATGAGGGGGCGACATGGTGGACATGAGGGGGCGACATGGTGGACATGAGGGGGCGACATGGTGGACATGAGGGGACAATATGATGTGGATATGAGGGGGCAATATGATGTGGAGACATGGTGGACAACATGGTGGACAAAATGGACATGGCGGACAAGATGTGAATATGATAGAAAACATGGTGGACAACACGGTGGACATGAGGGGGCGACATGGTGGACATGAGAGGGCGACATGGTGGACATGAGGGAGCGACATGGTGGACATGAGGGGACAATATGATGTGGATATGGTGGGGGGAACATGATGGACATGAGGGGGCAACATGATGTGGACATGAGGGGGCGACATGGTGGACATGAGAGGGCGACATGGTGGACATGAGGGAGCGACATGGTGGACATGAGGGGGCGATATGATGTGGAAATGGTGGGGGGACCATGATGGACATGAGGGGGCAACATGATGGACATGAGGGGAACATGATGGACATGGTGGAAAACATTATGGACATGGTGGATACCATGATGGACATGGTGGACAACATGATGGACATGATGGACAGCATGATGAACATGGTGGGCAACATGATGGACATAATGGACATGAGGGGAACATGATGGACATGATGGACAACATAATGGACATGGTGGACAACATAATGGACATGATGGCAACATGATGGACATGGTGGTGGACAACATGGCGGCCAGACTCACCTTAACCTGCGCCTGCTGCAGGAAGGACGAGTGTTGGATGGCGGCCACGGGCATGGAGGACAGCGGCACCCGCGGGGAAGCTACAAATGCAGCAGGTGGTGGAACAGGTGCAGCAGGTGCAGCAGTGGCAGCAGCTGCAGCAGGTGCAGCAGCAGGTGCAGGAGCGGCAACTGCACAGGGAATGTCATGAGAAATAACTGATGTGTTCACACCTTAAAACTAAAGCCGGTAAATATTTATAATTTATTTATAGCCGGTATTTATTTATAATTACCGAATATTGATCAGTTACAGCCAGTAATTACATTGAGAGTAGTAATAATGTTAATAATAACCTGCTGTATAGGGAATGTCATGAGAAATAACTGATGTGGCCGCCCTTTAACTAAAGCAGGTAATTATATATATTTTATACACAATTATATATAAATATTTATAATTTATATATAATTACAAAGAATTTAAAAACAAAGAATAGTCCACAAAAATTCATATTTTTATAGAAAACGTTTTGGAGACCAGCCCCATTGTCAGTTCGCAGAATCCAGAATCACAAATTAATGCATTGAAAGCATAGAACGAAATTCAAAACTTAAATTTACAAATAATAGACGGAGCACAAAAAAATCTATTCAGAATTTCGGATTAATTTTTGTGGATTATTCTTTGCTTTTAAATTCTTCGTTAATTCGCGATTCAAGCAAACAAGTGAAATCAATTTTATAATTACCAAATATTGCTCAGTTACAGCCAGTAATTACAACAGTAATTAAGTTAATTATGTTGATAGTTACCTGCTGCAGGAGGCGCGGCAGCTGCAACGGCGGGGGCAGCAGCAGCAGCCTGCAAAATTCGCAATAATTAAACAAATGTACTCTTATAATATATATCTTATCTTGTATATAATCTTGATCAGCTTATTAACAGATCGGTTGTTGAAAACCTGATCGATCGTTGCCACCCTGACCGATCGTTGCCACCCTGACTGATCGTTGCCAGCCTGACTGATCGTTGCCAGCCTGACTGATCGTTGCCAGCCTGACTGATCGTTGCCAGCCTGACTGATCGTTGGCAGCCTGACTGATCGTTGGCAGCCTGACTGATCGTTGGCAGCCTGACTGATCATTGCCAGCCTGACTGATCGTTGCCAGCCTGACCGATCGTTGCCACCCTGAAAGATCGTTGCCACCCTGACCGATCGTTGCCACCCTGACCGATCGTTGCCACCCTGACCGATCGTTGCCACCCTGACCGATCGTTGCCACCCTGACCGATCGTTGTCACCCTGACCGATCGTTGCCACCTTGACCGATCGTTGCCAACCTGACCGATCGTTGCCACTCTGACCGATCGTTGTCAGCCTAACCGATTGTTGCCACCCTGACCGATCGTTGCCACCCTGACCGATGGTTGTCACCCTGACCGATCGTTGCCACCCTGACCGATCGTTGCCACCCTGACCGATCATCGTTGCCAACCTGACCGATCGTTGCCACAATGACCGATCGTTACCACCCTGACCGATCGTTGCCACCCTGACCGATCGTTGCCACCCTAAAACCCCCATGGCCCCCAGACCTGGGTGGGAGGATAGGAAGCCACTTAATGTCCCATTAATCCCCCAGTTCCCCACCTTTTGGGGGGGGGGGGTTGGGGAGCCACTTAATAGTATATTAAACCCCATGTCCCGCAAGTCCTCCCCCACCGATGCCTCTCTCCCCCACCTTGGGGGGCGGGGCGTCCCCAGGGGTGATGACGAACACCCGCGTGCCGGGGGAGACGGTGGCGCCGTCCCCCACCAGGAGCTCCGTGACCACACCCGCGCAGGGGGAGTTGATGGGGACGGTTGTCTGTAGGGGGAGGGCAGTTAGAGCTAATAATTAATAGAGTGGCGACTTATGTATCACTTGAAAAGAAATATTTGCACATACAAATCTATAATCAGAGAACTTTGTAAGTGTCACTTTGTCCAAACAGTGACGCAAATTTTGCCTTGTATATAATATTTTGACATTTTTCATCTGGTAAATGGGCGTATTAAAGCTATGCACATGCAAGTGTGTCAACATCAGGACTAAATGCCCCATTAAGTGTGTCACTATTTGGAAAAAATTACACATCAGTTTTGTCAATATTTGGGCTAAATGCCACATCAAGCGTGTCGCTATTTGGACAAAATGCCGCATTATTCAGAGTGTACCAGTCAACCCACCCACTCCCAGTAACATTTTTATTTAGAGTGTACTACATTATTATTATTATACACCCACATTATTCAGAGTGTACAAGTGAACCCACCCAGGTAACCCACCTTGTCAGTCTCGACTTCGCCCACCGTCTCATCAGCAGCCACGGCGTCGCCCACCTGCTTCACCCACCGCAGGTCTCCCTCACTGATGCTCTCTGCGAACGCCGGCACCACACCGTACTGCAGCTCTGTGCCTGGGGGAACAACTGGGGTACTGGGGGTACAGGAGGGGTACAAGGGGGCCGGCACCACTCTGCAGCTCTGTGCCTGGGGGACAACTGGGGTACTGGGGGTACAGGAGGGGTACAAGGGGGCCGGCACCACCCCGTACTGCAGCTCTGTGCCTGGAGGGTACAACTGGGGTACTGGGGGTACTGTACCTGGGGGTACAGCAGGGGTACAGAGAGGGTACAGGGTACAAGGGGGTACAAGAGAGGTACTGGGGGTACTGTGCCTGGGGGTACAGCAGAGGTATAGTGGAGGTACAGTGGGGTACAAGGGGGCTACAGGCAGGGGTACATGAGGGGTACAGTGAAGGTACCGTACAGAGGGACCAGCACCACCCTATAATGCAGGTTGGTACATGAGGGGGAGTTGGGGGTTGTTGTTTCTTGCGTCCGTCACGCTCGTCGGGAGGGAGGCTCATGTGGTGGGCGGGGGGCAGGCACCGGAAGAGGGGGGAGATAGGCGAAGGCAGGGAGGGTGGCCAGGAAAGCCGCTGCCTCCACGGGGCTGTCCCACAGTGAGGAGACGCTGAGAGACGTGGGGAAGGCGGGGCAGGTGAAGAGGTGCTGGACCGACTGGAGGGGAGCTAGGGGAGCGTCCGATCCTAGCGGAATAGGACGCCAGGGAGCTGCAGTATCCCGATCGGAGCTGGGATAGCGTCGAGCGGTAGGGGCGAGGGAGCGAGGCCTCCACTGATGCAATCGGCGGTGGCGGGGCAGCAAGTATGGCGTTTATGGCGGCAGTCGCCGCCACGCGGGAGGCGATCTCCCTGCGGAGTGACTGCTTGGCTTCTTCGTATGTCCCGGCAGGCAAGATACCATTTGCCAAGAATGGTGTGACAAGATGGCCGAACCTCGACTGGATGGAAGCTTTCATGGGGCGGTCCCCCAGTGGAGCAGAAACAATGTGGAATGAGGTGTGGGAGGGCTGGAGGGCGCTGGCGAGGAACTGGGCACAAGCCAGGTCCAGGTGAGCAGATAATGGGAGAACGCCGGTCTCCTGGTGAAGATGGGCGATCGGAACCATTTTGAGGCAGCCGGTGGCTAGTCTCAATGCAGTGTTTTGTATTATCTGCAGGCTGGCAACTGCTGTGCGTGAGACAACAGGGTACCGACGGGGAGACAGGGAGATATATGGGGTGGGGGGTAGGGGTAGAGAGATGCTGGGGTCCAAAGATGCAGGAGTCAAATGGTTTTCGAGAAGCACACAAGTTATACACTGTGAAACTTTGTTAAATAAATACAAGGGCATCCATTGGCATAGTAGAATTCTAGAAGGGTTATAAATGACCAAAAATACATAACATATTGGAAAGACCATTGCTTAACCAATCAGTCTGGAGAGGAATAAATCACAATCCTATCAACCAATCACAGTCTAGAAAGGATGACATCTCAACCAATCACAGCTGGAGAGGGATTTAACACAGCTCTGTATCACATTTAATTTAAATACGTTTAGCTCTGTATCTGCCATGTGTTTTTGGTCATTTAAACCCCGCTCTAAAATTCCACTAGGCCCACAGGGAATGGAAAATTTTTCAAGGTGTTATGCCCCAGCCTGTAATGATTTTAGTTATGCATTATGAAGAAATATGCCAAGCTTGACTGCAAATGAGTTATCAGACATTTGATACATGTATGGACATCACTAAAATATGTTGATATAAATAAAAATTTATGTAAATAAAGAAGTTTCAAAAGTAATTACATGTCCTCAGAACCTGTGTTGATATAAATAAAAATTTATGTGAAGAAAGAACTTTCAGGAGTAACTACATGTCCTTGGAACCTGTGTTGATATAAATAAAAATTTATGTGAATAAATTACTTTCAAAAGATATCACCGGTATGTATTATGCTCACATAAAATTGATGTTGAGTGCAGGAGACGCGTGCTCGCCTCCATAGCCATGCTGCTGGAAGGCCTGCAAATATACCAAATAATAAGCCAGTGCTCCGGTATTACATGCACTATACATGATATACAATAAAAATAAAAGATAATATAAATAGATTATCAGGAATATTTAATGCAGTGATGAGCATACAATTAGATTTGTTTCAATTTTAATTATGTTTGAAAATTCAACTAAAAAAATAATGTGAAGTTCCACACCACACCTCCAAATCTACACATAGCAGTTTCATTTGCTTATATAGTAGTATGCAATTTATGAAAATTATGCATATATTATGCAATTAGCCGCTTTAGTGGCCATTTATGATCACTTCAAACCTCCTGCCCAAAGAGATACTACAGCCCCGAGTTTGTGTTTGAGGTCAAGCCTCCGCCAATAATCTGACCATTGTTCTTTATACGACATGACACTCTACAATGCTCAAAAATAAAAATATGCAAATTTAAAGACAATTTTTGAATTGAGCTACAGAATTATGCACTTAAATTGATCGAATTGAATTAAATTGAAGTAGATTGTTACCCCACATTTTTATGCTTACATTTAAATAACTAATGACAATATTTAATGAATTCTTACAGTGTGATTTACTACTCCTACCATCTACAAAATTTTGAAATACATATACAATTGTATAGATCGTATAATAGTTCATACTTTCTCATACTGCTTTCAGAAATGTAAACTTTTGTACATCTCTACGCTTACCCACAAAAGGGTTAAGATAGCCAACCTTTCTTTTTAAACTAAATGCAGGAATGAAGGCAAATAATAAATATCCCACATCTTCTTTTCCGGATGCCTACACAAACTAATAGGTAATTGGTGTCAATCCATCACCCCAGTATGGAACATTACTATAATTTCAAGGAGGAAATTTAACATATATATTTTATCTGGTATAGGTAAGAAAAAATATAACTCAGTACTCACTGCAGTGAGTGACAGAGAGCGCATTTTCTCGTCGGCGAAAACTTGAAGTAACAGACGGACGGACGGACAGAGGGGCGGACAGGGCAAGCACAATAGTGCATTTATTTTCTAAATGAGAAAAAACACTAAAAAGGCTTTATTTTATCTAGGAACAGGTACCTATAGGTAATATGTATAGGTAAGAAAAGAGCAAACCTTAGAAGGCTGTGAAGCAGAAGCTACTGACCATGTGTGGTGTAAAGCAGGGGGAGCAGGCACTGCGTGAGACACGCACACCAGCGGCTGAGCACGCACCATGCACACGCCTGCCTGCAAAACAAACATTATATTCATCAACACTTCAAGTAATACAGGAAGTGCACAAAGTATTACACAGTGCTAGACAGAGCTACACATTTAACCTTTTCAAAACTGGCAGGACTTCTTGGATCCAAGCCATTAGGTACAAAAAGCATTGATGGCAAATGTATCCAAGATCAAAAGGTTAAGTTAAATCAATGAAAATGATTGTTTAAGGAAACATATGATCAATTAAAAAATAAGTCTGGTAATTATACATAACCTGGAAATTGTAAAATGTTAACTGGAATCTTATGGACAAAAATATTGTGGGAGGTTCTATCAGCTCCCAACAAAATTTGGATAATATCATTTTGTGAACACTGCTATAGTATAAAAATAATGTGTAATTGATATACCTAATTTGTATTTAATATTGAGAAAATTAAAATATTTACATTGAAAGTCAATTACCCTATAATCTATTTCAATGCCTAATGCATGGTTTGCTGGCAAGTCATGGGTGCCCAAACAGAAAACTAAATGTATTACCATCCTATATATATATGATGTGATAAGTTCCATAGACGATCGACTCACGGACGCTCTCTTCCATCGTGGCTGATGACTCCTGGTCCGGTCCTACTCAGACGGTACGTTCGCTCCAAAACAGAACCGTTAGTTGACGAGGTGGATTTGATAGACAGCAATCCCACCTTCGCCCACGTGAAATATCGAGACGGGAGGGAATCGACCGTGTCGGTACAAGACCTAGCGCCCTGTCCTCAACTCTCCTCTCGTCGGCTTCCAGATCCGATGACAGACAACGCAGATGTCCGTGAGCGACTAGAGCCGACTTCACCTCGTCAGGATCAAGCTCTTGATCCTCCTGGTTCATACCATCAACCTGCCTCACTGCAGGATGTCGCAGAACCTCTACCCGTGTCCCAGCAGCCTATGGAACAAGCGGATAAGGAAACGGAATTGGCCCATTCTCCCGTCCTCAGAAAATCGACAAGAATACGAAGACCCCCAGATCGCTACGGTTATTAATAAGCAAAGTAGAATATGAATGTTCGTTTGAATAGTATCCTATTTCGTTGTAAAATAAATTATTTTCAAAATGTCCTTACCAGGTAGAAGTAAGCGAAAAATTTTAGGAGGGGTGAATGTTGTAATATAGTCCTGATTTCTATATGAATAAAGTTCATAATAAGATGACTATCTGATGTTACATGGTCAGGCTTCAATACCTATACCGTATCAGTCTCAATGTACCCGTCGAGCTGACACGTTCTAACTACCGCCGTAATGTAATGTAAGTTTTCTACCACGTACATGCTGACTTTAAATCTGCCGTTTAATTGTTTGTTGCTGTTATATTTGTTATGTTGATTAGTATTTGATGTCGGTTACTCTCTTTTCAGGTAACCGGACATTTGTTTGAGTAAAGCTTGAATTGCCAAGTATTACTTATTTCACAACATTCAACTAACATGCGCGGGTTATGCGTGGTCGATGGATTAGATCAAAAATTCATTTACACGATTACGAGTTAAAACTTCACTATAAATAAATCAGAAATTAAGTTTTTCATTAAATTATTTAAATACTACATCATTTTGACGGGACTTCTTCAGTACTATGGATTTCAAAATTAATTGGTCATCTTAATGGACTTATTTCTGTTCCAATAGAACGGAACGTTTAGTTAGTTAGACGATTATTTAATTTGTTGCAAATATATAATCGGAAACATATATACGATTTTCTGGCTTTATGGAAATTTACGCAGTTACGGATGAGAGTGAAGTAGGATTTCTGTTACAACTCTTTGTCCTGCTGAATTTTACACAATTTTCCATCTTATCTTAGAGCTTCATAGATACGCTGCTCAGAGATGCAGTCAGTCGCAATCTCATCACAGCGTTCAAAAATTTCCAGAGCAAGACACTGAAAAATTACAGGTGTAAATAGCAGGTGATACCTATATATTAAGAGAAATCCTGAGCACTTCAAAATAAATTATTTTCATCACTTATTAGAGGAGTAACTAAATAAATTCTCACCTGGCACGGATGCACCTGCAATGTAAGAGGTTAGACTATAGACTGATTAGTTCGTGCCATGTGAATCGTGAAAGAAACTATAAGGAGACAATATTCACAACGATGTGGGCGAAATTTGTGGGCGAAATGGGCAGAATAGTGCGATACTTTTTCAAATCGAAGCCGAAATGGTCTATTGCACACCATATATATGAAAATTGACATCAATTATTTGTACACACTTGCAAAAAAACTCGTATTGTTGTTATACTTTTCGAAATATTCTAATGGATATTTAACGAATGATTCTCTGAAGTTCACCATAATGTTACAGACATATTGACGTCACCATATTGTTACAGACGCGTTACGTCAATTAAAGTCAGAAGCTCTTGCGCATATATTCTATTAGTTACATAGCACTCAATGTTAAAAGAGATGAAAAAATATGCAGTGTAGTGTGAGATTAAATAACGTAACTCTTTTCGCCCTTTTATGAGTCACCCTGACCCAGATTGGACTGAGTTTCACTAATGAGTTTCAATAGTTGACCTGATTGCAATTCTCATCGATCTAGCATTGCTAGTTAGCTTGATTGTTCTTTTTATTTACACGGCTCCACTAAGTGGTAGTTTTATTAACCTTTTTTGCTGTAATAGTTAGAAGCACAACACTCCGGATATCGCTCGAAACAGATCGCTGCCACCTAGTCCTGAATTAATGACAAACAATGTCAAACATCAGACGACGTTTGTCACGATTTAATGGCACACAACGTAAAACATAAGACGGCGTTCGTCATCTGACCGCATGATTCGTTTGGCTCCCCAACATTGTATTTTAGCTTCTGATTTACGCTCTATAATGAGCCGGCCACGCTCTGGTAATGGATCCACGCATAGCGCTACGAATCATGAAGAGACGATACGAATTACAGAGGCGAAGCAATACGTATTACGTAGAGACGTAACGAATTACTCAGGAACGAAGTGTTACGAATTGCTTACGGTCGTTTCGAATCAGCCAAGGACAGAGCATTAATTACGAATTACATAGGGACGAAACTTTCGAACTGCTAAGTGTTTAAGCTGTCAAACGCTGCTATATTTTTCGGCGCCTGAGAAAATTGATTCGAGACAAAATTTACTTTCATTTACATGTCAGAAAATTTTTTTATTAAACTGAACTACAATTTTTAACGAATTTCTTTGCTCATTAATAGTGATTAAATGTTCCGTATGGTTAAAAAACGTAGAAAAATCCTTTCCATTCTACTTGAAGATGCATTACATGCATCACGCGCCGCAATCAAATTCGAGGACCTGGTGATTATTCCACTAAAGTTACTGAGCATTAAGACTCGAACACTAAAGGGTAACTTAATTATATTCTTGGCTGCGTGCGTTGATTTCTATCTGTCATCATGTTTTCTCGATCGCATTCATTGAACATTTCCTAACTGAGGGAATTTTGAGTGACTTTATTGTTTGCTAAACTTGGTATTTTACCTATTAAGCCGGTATTTATATGCTGGTATTTCTTCTATATATTCTTTTTACTACCGTTTGTAATGAATTTTTTAATCAACATAATAAAAATTGTAGACATTTAAGATTATGTTTTTTTTTTGCTAATCGTTTATCGACCATGCCATGACATAAGACCAAATATTAATAATTATATACCTGCCAGCATATTACTTGAACATCTCCCGCCCCAATCGACGTATAAATCAATTCTTTAAATTATTCGTGGGAGAATTTACTACCAACTCTTCACGACCCATGCCGACACATGTGTAGCAGAATCCTTTGAAGAAATTAGTAGCATAATAATTGTAAATTAACTTCCAGCGCCCTATATATTACTGCTCTACACATTACTGCTCTACACATTACTGCTCCACACATTACTGCTCTACACATTACTGCTCTACACGTTCCTGCTCTACACATCACTGCTCTACACATCACTGCTCTCCACATTACTGCTCTACGCATTACTGCTCTACACATTACTGCTCCACACGTTCCTGCTCTACACATTACTGCTCTACACATCACTGCTCTCCACATTACTGCTCTACACATTACTGCTCTACACATTACTGCTCTACACATTACTGCTCTGCACATTACTGCTCTACACATCACTGCTCTACACATTACTGCTCTATATAATTCCTGCAAAGCAGCACGTGTTCGGCAAGACGTACAGCTCATCAATCTAGGTGAGTTAGGCCAGAAATATTGTGAGTTGCTGGGCACGACACGAGCGCTGGTATAAATCTCACTGCTTCATTGATCCTGGCGCGACGTGTCGTATTAGGCCCTCCTATGTGGATGTCCTGTGGGGGGAGTCCTTTAGGGGAGTCCTTCGGGTGGCCCCCTCCTCCAGGGGAGTCCTTCATGTGGGGGAAACCTTCTTTTGAGGGAGTCCTTATTTTGGAAGTCCCTCTTGTAGGAAAGCCATCGTCTGGGGGTACATCTTTTGGGGAACTATTGTCTAAAGTGATCATTGTCATTGTCTTGAAGTGATCGCTGTGTAAAATTCACAATTCTACGACTAACGTACATTAACGATTGATATATCACCGTCTTTACCGCAGCCCGATTCCTACTTTATTCGTCGACGAATTCAATTTTCGAAATTGCAATTTACCAATTATTGACCCGAATTATTAGTCATCATTTTCACGATATCATCTTGACCTCATATAGCTTCAAAACTTCGTCTCGGTTGAACCTTGTCATTGTTTATCGTCGTCGTTGAGGTTAACCCAACTCTGTGCATGAAGTTCAATTTTCAATCACGTGGGCCAATGCTGCATTCGCCTGAATAAAAAATTGAATTTTAATTCTAATGAAGATAGCGCTGTGAATTTTCACCTATAGTAAATTTCCGTAACTAACTCAGAGTTCCAGGAAAATACGATAGGTTTGACCAATAGAAAACTGAATAATCTGTGCTGCAACTTCGTAGGAAAGTTCCATGGCTGACTCGGTCATCCATTGCAGGCCAAAATCATCGCATCTGCAGGTATTTGAACCCTAACATGAAAATTTTGATTGAAAAAAAAGGAGTTACATAATTAATGAGTAATTACTTAATAATTAATTATATAATTTATCAGTGTTCAATAAAAAAACCGGTGAAATTCAAGGTTAATCAACGGTCTAGCCCAAAACAATCATCCAGTTTTAATATCATGGCTGGGAGCGAGGTAAGCAAAGTTCTGGCTAAGAAACACGCCTCACCTCCGAAATTTGACGACGAAAGTGGGGCATGCGTGCACTAATCTTATGTGTGACGTGCCCTCGAAGTTCGTTTGTACCAGACACAACAATAAATTCTTCGTAGAATAATAATAATGATAAATAATAACAATAATTATATTAGTAATGATAATAATGATACTAATGATAATAATAATTGTAATTATTATTATTAAATAATAAATTTAATCTCAAATGAGAATGACTTAATCTCTCTCTTTATTAAATAATAATAAACCATCGCAACGTCAGACCAAGACGAGTGCGGGCCTGTGGCCAGACTGCTGTGCTGCAGGTCGCCTGAGAGCTGCTAGGCAAAGTTCCGATGAAGAGGGTAAGGATGGTGAAACTAATCTGAAGATGCTTTCAATAATTATTCTACTTCAGGTTCAGCTTGAGACCGGCCAGACATATGAATTATTATAAACGAATAAAATTAAATTGAATCCACCAGATTTCTGGACTGCCTTTATCTGGGTTTTTGCATGGTTAATGTTAATCGCCAAAGTCTTCGCCGAATTCAGGATTCATTCATCTCTGTATTTACGATTCAGTTCTTTCGTATCCGCGATTCG